ACGACCACAAAGTTGTATTTTCAAAAATTCCAAAAAAAGTGTTTGATTCAGTCTGCCATTTTTACAGCGTGTTTATTATGTATAATAAAATATTCTCACAAAAAGGCAGACAGTTTCTCCGGGGGTTACTAATTTAAAAATCTATACAAATAAATAAAATTTAAATGTCTGTTTTTAATTTCAAAATAACAATTTTTTACTAAACGCATAAGACATTATATACGATATTTATAACAAAAACACAATTTTTAAAATTTTTGTCTGTCTGTTTGTTCCGACTAATCTCCGAAATGGCTGGACCGATTTTGACGGGACTTTCACTGGCAGATAATTGATGTTATAACGAGTATTTTAGGCTGCTTTTAAATTTAAAAAAAATTATTAGGGTACCGCGCAAAAAAAATAAAACCCTAAATTACATGCGGGCGAAGTCGCGGGGAACAGCTTTTTATTTTATCAGCAGCTATTTAAATAATCTTAAAAAAGTATAATTATTTTCATGTTTGTCAATTGGAATCGGATTCTGCTGTCAATGTACTTATCAAATCATGTGATACAGATGTATTAATTATTATGATAGGAAATATGGACCATTTAAAAAGTGATTATTTATTTGTATAGATTTTTAAATTAGTAACCCCCGGAGAAACTGTCTGCCTTTTTGTGAGAATATTTTATTATACATAATAAACACGCTGTAAAAATGGCAGACTGAATCAAACACTTTTTTTGGAATTTTTGAAAATACAACTTTGTGGTCGTCTGCCCCTATGTAAACCCCTTCAGAAGTGTCTGCCATTTTTTTTCTTAATTGTTTATAAACTTAGCTAACGGATAGTCATTATTATTATTTGAATCAAACACTTTTTTTTGGGCAAATTTTTTTTCGACTTAACTGTATGCGCAGTACCAGGTGTACCCAGGTAGGCCAGGCAGACAGTCATATACCTGCTTATTGAGTCGACTGATACCTTTAAACAAAGTTTCATGATGCATCAAACACTTCATGAAAAATGCGTCATGAGCTCTCGGACCATTTTTATCTGGCTTTGTCTATCAACAAGCCTTTCCATAAATATGAACAGGCTGTGTAACCGGCAACATAGTAAATTAATTAAAAAGAAATTGATGCTGGAGGCGGAAGCACGACAACGGCTTTGCTTCCCGCAAAGGGTAAATTTAATGTCTCAGAGAATAAGTGAGGGTGACGAAAGTTGGAGCTTTTTTCTGGGAATGAGGTATGAGGAGGTCGGCTTGACCTCGAAAGGATCACGCTCTCACCGAATACCAACGTAAAATAACAGCTTAACGCTACTGCAGCTGGCTGCTGTTTCGTATGGTGAATAGAGAACCGAACCTTTTTACTTTAAAAGAGGCATTCCATCTTAGTGCTCACGAGTGACAACGCATCTGCATTTTGATTCTTTATTGAGGACATATGTAGATGTCTATGGGTCACAGCAACCACCTACCATCAGATGGACTGTCTGCTCGTTTGTCACCCTATCCTATATAAAAAAGACATATGTCATTCACTTGACAACAATATTAATACCGTTCATAAATTAGACAATGTTCGTCGTCATTATAAATTACACAAAGTTACAAACTAGATACTTGATAACTCATTACTGATTACTTTAAACACAGATTACTAAATAGTTTACCTTTAACTATACAACATAGATTTCATTCACCGCCGCGCACGTGATACATTTATCAATAATTGACCTTAGTTATTTACAAATGAAACAATAATTGCTCTAGACCACCACTAACACAATTTTTAAATTGGTAGATAATCGCGGAAGTTTTTTTTTGCGTAATTATAAGCGAAGTTATTTGCTGTACACGTCACAACTAATAATTACATAATTACATTAAATATTTAAAACAGAAACAGACACAAATATTAGTTATTGCGTAATTACATTAATCGTCATCATCATCATCATTAGAGCCCTTCACGAGTCCACTGCTGAACATAGGCCTCCCCCAAGGAATACCACAAAGCACGATCCTGAGCCACCTGCATCCATCGACTTAATGCACGTCTTACCAGGTCGTCACTCCATCTAGTGGGGATCGCCCTAAACTTCGCCTACCAGTACAAGACTGCCACTCGAGAACCTTATTTCCCCATCGGTTGTCGGTTCTTCGAGCTATATGCCGGCCCACTGCCACTTCAGCTTACTAATCCATTGTGCTATGGTCACTATGGTTCTACTGCGGATTTCCTCATCATCTAATTATATTAACATTAAGTAACAATTCATATTTAAAGTAATTATTATATTTATTATATTATATACATAATATGTAGTAATATTATCTATAAGTAATAAGTACCTGTTTATAATATCAAAACAACTGCCTTTTATTAAGTAGAGGTTTTTTTTTATAGAATATGGGTGACAAACAAGAACACAGTCCACCTGATGGTAAGTGGTTGCTGATCTATCTTCGTTTGCGAATTAAAATGCAGATGTGTTGTCAGCTGTGTGGACTAAGATAGAATGCCTCTTTTCCGGTAAAATTGGTCTCCGGTTCTCTACACTCACCATAAGAAAAACAGCGGCATTAAGCTGCTATTTTGCGCTGGTGTTCTGTGAGAGTGTAGTCCTTCCCCTGTCGAGCCGACTCATTCGTGCTACAACTATACTATTAATATAGCTGCAGCAGCTGGCTCTACATGGTTATTTGTATGTCGTTAAGACATAAATGATTTTTTTTAAATTTTGCCTGTCCGAGCTAAGCTTTGCAATGTCTAGTGAATAGTGATTGTAATGAAACTTCTTGAACAGCTAGGCAATGCCACGAGTGATCGTGGCTACATTATTATATGTGTAAAACTTGGAGATTTTTAAAAACAAAAACGATAAAGTTTACTTTCTTTAATTATCAAAAAATCTATTTTTTTTAAAACGTTTACCCCACACTAGGATTTTCTCCTGTATCGTGGAGGCAGTTTACAAACACAAAATGCATAAGGACAAACAACCAGACCCGGAACAATTATTTGTAGGCCATTCAAATACTTGTTTCTTGCGGGATTCGAACCCGCGGCCTCCAGTGCTAATACAATGCGCCACGGAGCCGTCAAAAATACTCGTCCTTAGTGCTTACAACATTATTAGAACTCACCTAGGCGCAGCCAGGACGAATAGCTAGGTTTAAACCCAATAGTTAAGCTTACCGTAAAAGAATCCATCAAACTACGTCCCGTGGGTGTCGTAAGAGGCGACAGTGGAAAATACCAGAATTTTTATGGCTTCCAGTTTACAACGTAAAAAAAATCATCTTTTTATGTACATACAAGTATATAATTGACAAGTAACACCATCTTATTTCTTATGAGTGGCAACCTATTTGTATTTTGATTCTAAATCGAGCATAGATGTGCCTATAGGCTACATTGGCCGTTTACCATCAGGTTGACCGAGCGCTCGTTTGTCACCCTTATTTATATTATACTTACTTACTTATCTTCACGCACAATCCCTGACGGGGTAGCCAGAGAGAACAGATCGCCAAGTGTCACGATCCTTACATATCTCTTTCGCTTCTTTCAGATTCATTATCTTCTTCATACATGCACGTCTAGGTATCCGAGTACTCTTGACCCTACCCTCTTCGAGCAATTTGCTCACATGGTCTTCGAAAGTTAGTCTCGGTCTACCTCGACACCTTTTAATATTAACTTTCGCGCTATATATTTTCTTCACCATTCGGTCTTCACTCATTCGCTCAACGTGCCCAAACCACCGAAGCACGCCCTTATCAATTTTTGTGATAAGGTCATCTTTCAAACCTGCCATATTGCGAATCTCTTCGTTTCGCTTTCGGTCGGCCATAGTAACGCCGCACATTTTACGAAGAGATCGCATCTCCACTGCATTCAACTTACTTTTATGCTTCTTCTGGCATACCCAGGTTTCGCTGCCATATAACAAAGTCGGTACCAACACTGCGTTATGTATTGCAAGGCGTGCACTCTTCGCTACGCCTTGCCTTTTGACTAACGCAGTCAGGGCACCATTGACTTTGTTCCCGGCAGCGACACGCCTGTCCACATCTAAATCACATCTTCCATCCCGGCTAAAAGCACTCCCCAAGTATACAATTTCATTTACCTGTTCTAGACATTCCTGATTTACCCATATTTCACACTTCGTTCTCTCTTCGTCCCTTTCAAATACCAGAACCTTAGTTTTATTAGCATTCAAACGGAGACCTTTAATTTCACATTCCTCTTTCATACACGTGACTAATGCCTGCAGTTCTGCCTCTGATGGTGCAATAAGCACTGCATCATCAGCATACAGCAGACAATTTACTTTTATGTCACCCAATTTCACACCCAAACAGCTATCTTTCAGCTTTTGTAAATAGCTGTCGAGATACAGTATGAACAGCCAGGAAGACATGACACAACCCTGTTTTACGCCCGTTTGGACGCTAAACATGGGTGACAGGTCATACCCTACCCGCACACAGGCTTTACAGTCACAGTAAAGAGACTGCACAGCCCTTAGCAATCGGCCATCCACACCATACCCCGGCAACAGTTCCCACATTTTCTTCCTTACAACCTTATCAAATGCTTTCTCAAGATCCACAAATGCACAGAAAATCTTCTGGTTAACAGCCAGAAGCTTTTCTGTGATCATACGGAGAGAAAACATTTGATCCGTGCATCCTCTTCCAGGTCTAAATCCGCATTGTGCCTCCCATAGAAATCTTTCCGATTTCTCTTGCATCCTACGTGTCAAAACCTTCGAGTAAACTTTACTTGCTAAACTGGTCAAGCTGATCGCCCGATTGCACCCGCAGTCAAAATGTGAACCTTTACCTTTATATAAAGGCACAATGACTGCGGATCGCCAATCATCCGGGACATCCCCCGTCCGCCAGCACAAATTGCACAGCAGATGAAAGCTGTCCCAGACGCGAGGCCCATTTATATTATAAAGATAATAACCCTTGTTTTCTTGTTGCAGCCAAAATGACGACTCCAAACAAGCTACAGACTGAGAGGGTGAAGCAGATGTTTAGTTGGACTGCTGGGTGAGTGAAACTCGGAAAATTATCGAATTATATAATTTAAATTTAAAAATTTTGTACAACCGAATTCGATATAAATTATTAAGATTAACTCAACACGATTGGTCAGATCTTGATAAATTTTATACAGAACCACATGAGAAGCGCCAGCTTTCAAATAAAAAAGAATCATAGAAATCGGTTCATCCAGAAAAAAGTTAGGAGTTAACACACATAAAAAATATACAGTCGAATTGAGTACCGTCTCCTTTTTGAATCGGTAGAAAATTGTCGTTTATTGTTTATTTATGCATTTATTTATACTCTTTTTAGTTTTTTTTTACGTGGTAGAGCCATGCTGCAGCTATATTATTGGTATAGCACGAAGTTGTATACGTTGCAGCATGGATAGGTCGGCTCGACCGTGGAAAGACCACGCTCTCACCGAATACCAACGTAAAATAGCAGCTTAACGCTGATGTCTTTCATATGGTGAGTGTAGAGAACTGGAGACTCTTTTTACTAGAAACGAGGCATTCCATTTTAGTCCTCACGGGTGACAACGCATCTGAATTTTGATTCGACATCGACGATAGATGGGTGATGACGATGAGCCACAGCAACCACTTACCATCAGGTGGACTGTGTGCTCGTTTGTCATCCTTATCCTGAAAAAACATATTACATAAACATTTAAATCAAACTATAATATAATTAGGTGGCTTTAACATCACACAGCGGTCTTTTACTGCCGACTTCAAAAAGGAGACGGTACTCAATTCGACTGTATGTGTTTTTTTATGTGTGTTACTTCATAACTTATTACTGGGAGAACCGATTTCGATGATTTTTTTTAATTTGAAAGCTGGTACTTCACATGTGGTTCCATATGAATTTGATCAAGGTCAAACCAATAGTTTTTGAGTTATTCTTAATAATTTATATTGAAGTCGGCTGTACAAAATTAATTTTTAAATTTTTAATTATTCAGACATAAATTGGTGGACAAGGTTATTTTTATTTAAACATATAAATAGTAAATACATATGAGTTACATATAGTTTATAAAAGAATTAGGTGATCATATTATTAATAATTTGCACAAAATTTTAAATCTGCTTTCAACACGTTTGCCGTGTATGGTATATCGTAAATATGTAGATATGCGAAAATATTTTAATTTTAAATCTTTGACAGTTATTTCTTTCACAGCAATTTTAATAAGACTCATTTAATATAAAAACAATTACTTTTAATAAAAAGTAAAGTCCGAGTTCAAAGAACTAAAATGAATAAAATAATTTCACATTCTGAAGTAAGTGTGGGTAATAACATTTTTTTAAAAGTTTTTGTAGTGAAGACATCTTTAGAATCGTTGTGATTTGAAACTCGATGAATACGAAAAGGCGACACTGAAAAGAGACCAACATATACATTATACATCTATAGGATTTAACCTGCGAGAGAATGATATAGAGAACAGTACAGTGTTTATTAATACTGACGAACCGCCCCTGCTTTGCACGGTTAATTTCCGGATCTCGACAACAACGCCACCTTCCGGGTCTAATTGTGAATCTAAACCATTCTCTAACAGAGACATTTAAGTAGTAGTAGTAATAGATTGGACATCAGTAGCAAAATTGTCGTCTGTATCTTATGTCCTATAGGATTTATCTCCGTTTTTTGTCAATCCTAAATTGACCAATCAATCATATGCTATTATTATAGCAACTAATGAACCGAGTGTCGTCGTGTCACCAAGGTGGCAACCAAAGTGACTGCTCTTTGAATTGATTCTTAGTTATTGGAAATTAAATATTTTATTTCATGACACTAAAGGGGCGTAAAAAGTTAATATGATTTTTTTCGTGTGATGGAAGTCATGATAAATAGATTTATATAATAAAAGAATCATGTGTATTCCCTATTATTATATCGAAAAGCATTTCAAACTTAGTAATCTTCAACAACATTAGCGATACTTTGATATCGAAACGGTAACATTCCTAAAACGAGGTTATATTTATTAGCGTAACCTACTGGGGAATAGCTAAAATGTTGTCTTAATAAATGCTTAGCGTTGTTATGCTATTTTTAGCTAGAGGGTGCCACACGTGCACTAGCTCAAAGTTTTTGCATATAAATGTTCCCAATGTCCGCTCTATAGTATACCTATATATTTAAATCTCTTGTTCTCTAATCAACTTAATCACACACACAAAATTTCATCAAAATCGGTCCAGCAGTTTAGGAGGAGTCCAGTCACATACACACGGGCAGAAGAATTATATAACATATAATATGTATGTATTATACATATAAACCTTCTTCTAATTACATTTCAATCATTCTCTCTATTGATCGAAAGCGCATCAAAATCCGTTGCGTAGTTTAAAAGATTTAAGCGTACAGACGGCGGGAAGCAACTTTGTTTTATAGGTACTACCTATATAGAGAAATTTATTTACATTTTTTTTTTCATAAATCTTAGAATTATTCTACTCCTGATATTGTGCATTGGTCTCATTCTCTCGAAGTTTAATTTTTCTAAAGATTTCACTTTTACTGCGTGTGAACTATACACATGTTCAAACCGGGTTACTGTGATATTTATGGCGAGCACTACTTACGTGTCTAAAAAACCGAGTTTCAAAAGAACATTTTAGAAAGATCTCATAATCTTGATAACGTCCGTTTCCTAGGCTTAAAATATCCAGACAGTCAAGAAAAGTATTAAACGTACAAAGAACTTTAACATCTTGCGCGGATGTATGTTTTTGTTAGCTAACCGGAAAATGCTGTGATGGTCACAATCCGCAAAGAGGCTATTCTTTCTAGTGACATAATATAAACTTATAGTAAACAAAAGTTTAAAGTTTTATTGTCTGTACTTCAGACAATAAAATGTTACAATGTTACGAGTAAAACAAGTTTGAAGCTTTCTTAAAGCATTTGCAAAGAGATAAAACTAACACCGCAAGCACACAACATCTTTCGTATGATGCAATGGCCGAGGCTTGACCTGCCTCGTGATGCAAGAGCTACTTTCGCGTGCAGCCGAGACAGCGATAAGCAGGCACAGTAACCTACTTGCAAATAATCATTTATGCGATAGTCGAGCTTATTATTCTTTATACAGGTTATTTAAATTTAACTTTTTGTAATGTGTTAACATCAATGGCGAGTACATCACTCACCTTCGATTTGCCGACGATATAGTCCTTATGGCAGAATCGCTGGAGGGCCTAAGCACTATGCTCAATGACCTCAATAGTGTTTCCCAACGGATAGGTCTTAAGATGAACATGGACAAAACAAAGATTATGTTTAATGTCCATGTCACACCTATGCCGGTAGTTGTTGGGAGCACTAAGCTCGAAGTTGTTGACGAGTATGTTTACCTGGGACAAATAGTCCGACTAGGTAAGTCCAACTTCGACCGAGAGGTCAATCGACGGATTCAACTCGGCTGGGCAGCGTTCGGGAAGCTACGACACATCTTCTCGTCAGACATACCTCAAAACCTTAAAACGAAATTGTACAACCAGTGCGTGTTGCCAGTGATGACTTACGGAACTGAGACGTGGTCCTTCACTGCTGGCCGTATGAGGAAGCTCAAGGTCGCTCAGCGAGCTATGGAGAGGGCTATGCTCGGAGTTTCTCTGCGTGATAAACTTAGGAATGAGGATATCCGCAGTAGAACCAGAATAACCGACATAGCCCAACGAATTAGTAAGCTGAAGTGGCAGTGGGCCGGCCATATAGCTCGAAGAACCGACAACCGATGGGGAAGAAAGGTTCTCGAGTGGCAACCTCGTACCGGTAGGCGAAGTGTAGGGCGTCCCCCCACGAGATGGAGTGACGACCTGGTAAGACATGCAGGAAGTCGATGGATGCAGGTGGCTCAGGACCGTGCTTTGTGGCATTCTTTGGGCGAGGCCTATGTTCAGCAGTGGACTTGTGAAGGGCTGTAATGATAATGATGAATGTGTTAATAACAAATATTTCAAGTGTTCTGCTGCCATGTATTGCTTATTGTTTTGTAAGCTGTATTTGCTGCCATCTATTAGACGTATTAAAAATAAATTAGTCAACACAACATGTGCTACAATATTATGCTGTTGTAAAGTTCTTAGTTTTCCCTTCCTCTACTAGATGGCGCGGATATATTTTAAGAAGTAAGAGATATTACTTTTAAAAATTAATTTGTACAGTATTATGGCCCTACCAGGTCATAAATGATGAGCAAGCTATTGTATAGGACTCGAAATTTTAATTCTTATTATCTCTTTTTGGTCACTATTACATTTTTCTTCTTCAACTTTCTATGGAAATGTTAGTTTGGTAGGGTGTGAACTTAGTTTAACTTGGCTTAGGTAATGCTCTACGAAATAGCTTACTATTTTCTCACCAGTCGCATTAATATAGAAAGACAAGGACAAAGGATTGCCTCATCCGCAGGCTATCATTGAACAATTTTATTGGTGATCGATAATTTCGTTAAAATCTGATCAATAACAGGAGTATCATCTATCGTCATATTTTAATTTATTCTGAATGAAATTATTACAAAAATACACTGTACGTTGATGTCCAAACAAATGTTTTTTTTCTGCCTCATGACAGTATGTCCTGCAGTGTTTAAAACTAATTTAATTTCTTTTTTTTTATAAAACGTTACCCCCACACTAGGATTTTGTCCTGTATCGTGAAGGCAGTTTACAAACATAAATTATACAAGGACAAACATCCAGACCCGGAACAATTATTTGCAGGCCATACAGATACTTGTTCCATGCGGGATTCGAAGACGCGTCCCCCAGCGCTATTATAGAACAAGAACTATTATAGAATAAGGGTGCCAACGAGCACACAGTCCACCTGATGATAAGTGGATGCTGTGGCCCATAACCACCTACATTTATCCTAAATTAATAATCAAAATGCAGATGCGTTGTCATCCCTGAGGACTAAGATGGAACGCCTCGTTTCCATTAAAAAGGGTCTCTGGATCTCTATAC